GAGTAGGGAAGTGGTCTCAGCGTGACACCGCAAGATCCCGGGGCTGCAAACGAAGCCGACCTACTTTGACTTGTTGGACAAGTCTTGCTACTTGCGACACTAAGTCTACCTCCAACACCACTTCTGCGCAAGCCGACTCACACAGAGCTGCCAGCTGGTGTACTTTCTTGAGGGCTCCGGGAGATAAAGATTGCATGACGTTACAACAGCCCAACTCCTGAACGTAGTGAGCTAAAGTTTTCATGTGCAACCACCTCCCTCGCCACTGTAGTCGAACTAGGTCTTCTTGCCACAACCGAAACAGGTAAGTCGCCCCGCCAGGTCTCAGTGAACTAGGAACACACAGATTAGGATGATCTGCAACTTCTTTCAAGACCATCTTGAGGCGGCTGCGAAACAGGCCTGGAGAGTAGCTCCAAAGCCGTTCGCTGGTTGTCATGGCATTTAAGGATCTTTGCAGGAAGTCGACGACAAAGGGCTCCTCGAGGCGCACACTCTGCCGCCTTGCACCTCGAGTCCTCGCTTTCACCAACTCCAACCGTAGGAAGATGACTTTGGCACACCCACTGTCGCTGCTGAGAATACAGTCGCTGGCCTTCAAGCCGAACATTTCGCAGGGCCTCAACAAACCGAAGAACCCTATCAAAAGCATTAGGGCAAACCGCGTCCATTCCCAGCCCAACGCCGTTGCCACCAACGCTTTCAGTAGCGGCACTGGCATTGGTGGATGCACGTGACTCGGGTGCAGGATCTCCCAGGTGGTCAACAGCCCCCACGGCCCAGCCATGAAGCTCTTCAGGAAGGGAAACTTCTGGTTCACCGTGTTGACTGTCTCTGCAAAGTTCCTTCTCGGCTCCCCTTTCTCGTAGAGGACTCGCCCGTACTCCTCCAGATGCAGGGAAAAGTCGATCGGGTTTCGCCGCACCCACTCGGGCAACGGTGTGCTTGTGATCTCTTCGTCGCTCCACCACTGCAGGAAGCTGTCCCAAAGGCTTGTTCGCACCCTCGCTGTCGCTGGGGTGACGCGCCCACGGTCCAGGTTGCTCCGGTCNNTCCAGGCCTTGGCCCAAGCACCAACTGAGGTGAAGCCACCAGCAACAGCAAAAGCAGCCGCTTGCCCCAGCAGGAGCCACCTAGCCCACGACCGAGGTGTGTCTGAACACCTGTCCAAGCCATTCTGCCCCACGGACAAGGCCCCTGCGCGGAGACTCAGAAGCCACTTTGGTACTGCTATGCGAGGTGGACGCACTTTGCGTCGTCTTGAAGGATCGTCAGCACGCAACGCCCAAGTGGGACAGTGAATACCTACTGGATAAATGTTCTTAGCTATCTGAAGCGCCATGTCCTGACGAAGCACTGAGTTGAGTGCGTGACTGGAGCTGCGACCCTTTGATGTAGCTCCTAAAGTAACTAGTGAATCTTGAAAGCAAACCACTCGACTATTCATAGGAGCCAAAACCATCAGGGTCTTGCGAGCATGACACTCTAACACATTTATGTGGTTGGGACGTGCAAATCGGTATGCTCGCAGCGGCTTCCAGGGGAGAGATTCTGCTAGATGGGTGGCCCACAGGTGAGAGACAAATCTCTGTGCTCCACGGTGGTCCCGCAGATCCCCCCATCTCTCAGAATCGAAGTTGTGCGCACTCTCATTGGCAAACGGTCCAGGCTTGCGATCCCTCAAGGTGCAGACATCCTCGAAAACTCCAGCTACTTCCTCACAGAATTCCGCAGGATACTGGCTTACGCTCCTTGAGGAAACGACTTTAGCATGGGCCTCAGAACATCGACACCTTTTGCTCAAACGTTTAAACAGCGCAACGGACGTTAACAGTGCTGTCGGTTTCTGTTGCAGAGCACCGAACCTACACATATCTACGCGATACTCTAGGCTGCATCTGACGGCATACTGCCACCACGGCACTCTCCTAGAATACGCACTCCAAGGCGTCGAGACTACTGCCACAGAGCCTACCGAGAGCTGGGCGAGAAATAAAGCTAGGGCTAAATGCAAAAGCAGATTACCCTCCAACACTTCTGAATTTAACAGCTCCAGCCCGAGCGGAAACTCGGTGGATCGTAGTCTCGGGTGCCGAGCAACAGAGAAACTGCGACACGGTGGGCTAAGCCAAAGCATGCCTATTCTACCAGCAAGGCACAACCCCATTAAGAGATAAAACAAGCCTTGGTCAAACAGATCCCAACCGCTCTTCATCTCTATGGCTGGACCCACCACGAAGCCGCGTTCATGCATGGCTGCAGTGATTCCGGAGGAGCCAACGAACAGCTCTACAAAATCCAACCGAAACTCAGGTAGCCTAGGGACTTTGGGCCAACCACTTCGCAAGGCTAGCTTGTGGAACCACACTGAGACAAGTGACGGCATATCACTAAGCATCTTAAGCTCACCCCTCCACTTTGGCTGCCCTGCTTCTACGGCTTTAGTTTCGAGTGGATCCTGGAGCACTTCTTCCACACCCGATTGCAGTAAAAACTCTGGCTCTTGCGGACCCATGCCCTGCTCCTGCAAGTAAGCACTGATTGGGGACAGCAATCGGGTGTGGAAGCCTCTCATGTCCGCTCTCCGAAAGATCTCTGCGGCAACAGGCGTGCCAACGTTACATCCTACGATTCCCGCCCCCTCTGGGGAGGCATCAGTCGCGAAAACCACTGGGCATACCTGAGCCTTGAGATCAGCTACTGCCGCCAGACCGAGCACTGATGCAAGCTGCAGTTCCTGCACAAGGCCTCGAGGCATTCTGAAAGGAGTACTGGGACTGCCTGAAGGATGACTAACGTGGTAGGCTACCTCGAAAATGGCAAACAAAGGGCGCCTAAACTGAAACGCAAAAGCCCACAGCCCTAGCAGCTTCTGCAGCACGCGTTCCGTAATCACTCCGTGCGCTGCCACTCGAGCAGTACATATACAGAGGCTCACCAGCCGCGTCCTGTCTAAGGACACAGTGCCGGTGTCTCCCTCGAATTGAGCCCCCCAGGCCTTGAAGACACGAACGCGGCGCTCCTTCTTCTTAGGGTGAATCTGCAGCCCCGCCTTCATATAGGCAGCTTCCGCTAAAGCACACGCTTCCATGTCTCGGCCTGGGGGGGGAGCATCGGGATTGAAGGGTGGCACTTTCTCAGGCACACAGGTGAAAACTTGAATACCAACCTTATCGTCAATGCACACTCCCGAGTAATGTCGAGAAGGAGATCGAGGCAACGGTGACCCTAAAACAAGTTTCTCTTCCGGAACTAAGGCGCCGCAAGCCTCTAACAACCCTTCATGGCTAGCCTGAGCCAGCGCCGGAGCCCAATGATCTCCCATCGACAGTCCAGCAAAGCATGCTCTCACCCACCTCGTGCCATCCTTGGTGACACCGGGATGCCTCTTTTCAAGGCGCTGAAGCGCACGTGAGCCAGCAAATTGCTGAAGCTTCCACCGGGGCCCCACAGGCGTACTCAGAGCGCGCTCCAGCGGCACACTAAACTCGTGATAGAAGTTGCGCAAGTCATCGACACAACCCCTCAAACAGCCCTCACGAGGAACTATAATCCCTAGAAAGGACGAAGCATGACCCATCTTAGGTGCCGAGGGCGGGGGTCCCAGCTCTGCTGCATTCCGCGGCCGTCTGTCAATGATCTGTCTCAGCTCACCATCCGGCTTTGCCAAACAAAACAGGTTGCAAGCATGTTCAGGATTACACTCTGTCTCTAAGGCAAGGCAGAGACGATCAACGGCATCCCAGCGCCACATCAAGTGCCACAACTCCGTGTGGCTAGATGTTATAGGCGGCGGCACGTTCCTAAGCACTTGCTCTTTCAACAGTAAGTCAGGATGCTCGAAGGCGACCCTGAACTCCTCACTTAAGAAGGGCACAGGATCAAATCCCCGCAACTGCTCAGGGAAGGCCACCTTGGAAGCCACNNCCACTTGGGTACTAGCTCCGTCTGACTTGCAAGAAGTACTACATTTGGCAGCTCCGTAGACCAGATCCCTAAAGGAGTCCAGCATACGCTCAAAAGACTCGAGATCATCACATAAACCATTAATTTTGGAGCCGCACCCAGTAGAAAGGTCGTCGCCCTCCACCAGGCAGCTCAAAACGCGCACCCGATTCCTCAATCCCTGGACCATCTCCGATTGCTTCGGCGAAAGGCTCCCGCGACAACCTTGTGGTGGACATCGGCGAGAGCCCCCTAAGAAGCAAAAGTTAACTGCACAAACAAGCAAGTTAGTAGCCACATCAAGAGCCCGTCGCTCAACCCATCTGCGATGGCGGCGCCTAGACTGCGAGCCCCAACTAGCTTCATGCCAGGAATAAGGAATTGGGCAGGGCAAAAGCGCTGACGAGTGCAAGGCCGAAAGGCACTCGGTACGGGCAGTGCTACGCACGAAAACAGAAAAATCAGTGCACTTGGCACTCAAAAGATCATGCAAAACCTTTGGCACATGTCGCCAACCAGGGAGCGCCTTCGCATCCTGCCGGCTGGCTGCGCCTACTTGTTGCTTGCTTCGCTCGGTTGGCCTTTTCCGGGGGGCCGCCCCTTTCCAGGCCTCTGCGGGGGTGTGTCCTCGTTCTTGTTGGAGTCGTGCTTGAAGCGCCTCTTCACCAGGATCTCTTCGTCGCGAAGTCTGGCGATGACTGCTGCAGTCCATGTGGAATGAACCAGCCTCGAATGCGCATGGTCCGCACGCAACTGTGGAAGGTAGTGGTCGCGAGCTCGCCATTCCNNCCAAGCTGCAACCCAGTTGCCATCCAGGCGGTATTGCTCGATGGCCGCCAGCCCCAACATCAGGATAAGATGGGCTTTCTCTGAATGGCCTGCTTTCATCGAAGTGATGGCTCGGGTCATGATCCAGGCAGCGTATCCCAGGCTCTTCTCTGAGCCCATGGGCAACTCCTCCCGGGCGTAGCGCTCCATCGTAGTCGCGTTGGGGCTGGTCTCGCCGAGAACCTGGGCAGCCATTGTCTCGATTGCCGCAGTGTAGGCACCAGGATTGGACTCCATTGAAGCGCGGAGACGCTCCAACAACATTGTGCCCTTCGCGCCAGAAAGTCTGCGCAAAGGGTCTTCCTCGTCCGAATCCGACTCCCCGTGCAGGGGAAGGCCAGGGGTGAGAGCAGATCTCTTCTTCTCGTCGCCCTTGGTGAGAAGTTTGACCAGGGCCGCCTTCAGAAGTTGATCGGTCTGCATCTCGCCGTCCTCNNTCGAGCTCTCCGGCCTCTTCGCGGGGCAGAACTCCGACCCCAGCTGCAGTCGGCAGGGCACGCGTTTTGGGCGCTGCCCCTGTGAGTGCCTTGACTTTGGCCAAGGCCGAGGGTTGTGGCCCAGTAGGCGGCGCAGAAGGCTCTGCGGAAGCCGCTCCCTTCTTGACTTGCTCCAAGTCGGTTCGTAGATGCTCCACCATAGAAGCAGTCTGTTGCATCTGTGCCAGCAGCTGTCGCATCATATCGTCCCCCATGCCTACTCTCGGCTCGGCTTCTGGGGCTGTGTGGTAGGCGTCGGAAAAAGGCATCTCTCCTTCCTCTACCCAGCTGCGCGCATTCTCCACTAGACTTGCTCGGTCCACTGTCACCTCTGCTTCCCCATGCCTCGGCCACACTGTGCCCGTGGGCCAGGAACCTGTGGTGACGACTCGTAGGAACTTGAAACAAGCAGTCGGCCAATCGAAGAGCAGGAACGGAATCTCCACTTCCTGTCCATCGGCCAGGAACCCTGGCACATCCACTTGGCACACTAGCCCTAAGTCCGAGGTCACATCGGGGATGGACTTGGCTTCCATCTCCTCCGCGGTGATCGTTCCCCCAGGG